GGGGAGAGCCAATGAGTGCGGTGCTCTTATATGGGAAAGCTGGCTGCCTGCTGCAAATTGAAAATGTTTAACCCCTGCCTGCACAGGGGAAGGAAACACCCCGGGGAGGTGGCACAGGGCTCCCCCAGCCAGCCCGGGAGCAGCAGAAGCGCCTGCAAACAGCTGAGAAGCCGAATCTGCTCTCACAAAGTGTGCAGCCCCCGTTACACAAACTGGGTGAGTAAAGGGAGAAGACCCCACAAAGTGCAGGGTCTGCTCCTCACACAAAGCAGCCCCAGTTCCCAAACACTCGATCATCACGGGTTGTTTCATCCTCCTCTGGTTCTGGAGGGTGGGATCTCCAAAGGAGGGTCAGATTGGTGAGAGGCTTCTCCTGGCTGTCCCTGGCCACACACACGCCCCAAAACTGCTTCACTTTCCCCTCACAAAGCAGAGGAACAGAGGGCTGATGCTCTCAGCGTGTTTTAGTTCTTCCCCTCCCTCTCCTGAAGGCTGGAGGAGCAGTGGGATCATTTCCTGAGCGCCAGGGCAGGACAAGGCTCAGCACTCACTGCCTCAGCAGCTTTTCCCAAAGGAAAGCTGCTCCAGAGATTCTCACCTGAGCTCCTGAGGCTTTACAAAGCCTTTAATGTGACCTAGAGTTCAACTAGAGAATATTATTGATGAAAAAAAACAGTGAATAACTCTCCCATCCAACACCTTGGATGGCAGGGCCACATTCCAGGAAAAATCTTGGAATTGTTGTTAACCACTGGCCCAAAACCACTGAGCAGAGGGGTGACAYGGTGACACACTGAACTCTGGCTGTGGCTCCCTTTTTCCAAACCTACCCTGAGCCAAAGCAGAGCCTGAAGCAATCCCCATCCCCCAGGACTGCAGGATGCTGTGATTCTCCCCTGGACTGTGGTGGTCACCCAYGGAAACATTCCCAGATGGTTCCAGGTTTGAGTCAGATGCTGTGAGAGACCTCCCTATAAATACACCAATTAAAYGACACAGTGCCTTTTCCTCTCGTGGTTTTCAGGAGATTACAASCTGATTTCTCCAGATTCCCATGTTTCAAAACGAAGCCGGTCCAGGAACCATCCATAGCTGCTTTTTTCTTTCCATGATGGTTTTTTAATGATTTATTAAGACCCCCAGAATTGCCTATAGAAAACAAACAGATAAATGCAAGATCAGATCCAATCTCTCCACCCCTTCCCTCATTCCAGCCTTGGAATTGATTTAGCTCAGTTTGCTTTAGCTGCTTTTTTACTGTGATATCAACAGAGCTTCAGGCTCAGGAGTTGAGCTCAGACTTAAGGGTGGTTTAAATCCTCTTGGGTTTCTCCTCCAGCTTTCCTGGGAGGCATCCCACCAYTCCAGCCAAGGAATGAAATCAGCCCTTGGGGGTGCATCATAACAGAGCTCTTCTCTCTGCACATCTGCTTTTAATAGCTGCAGGGAGGGAGGGAGGGGAATGTGCAGTTTGMTGGGAAAGGAATCGCTGCCAGCCSAGAGGTCAAASAGCCAAACACAACCAYGGAGCTGCTGGGRAGCACAGAAACGCAGGGCAGGGAGGTTAAAAGCAGCAGTTTAATTGCACCTGTCTGCCAAATTGAATTGTCTTCTTGCTTTTTGAGGCTTTTATGTGGAGGAACACGAAGGAATCTCACAATCCCTTATTTTATTGATGAACATGGCTGAGTTTCTCCTGACAGGAGAGGCATGTTCTGTGGAAATCTGGGAAGAGAGAAACCAAACTGCTGAGTGACATTTCAAATCAAGTGTTTTTCATTTAGCAATTTTATCAAATATCTTCCTAATTATAGATTACAGGTGAGTAATTCACAGCAGAAAAAGTAATGACTGGAGCCTGCGTAAGCAGGAGGTAAAAGGAAGCACGAGGATGAGGGTGTTCTGAAAAGATGGAAAARAGCACWTTTTCTGAAATAAATATCCTGTGTKCACCTAAGTTCCCATTTTTATCAAATAATGAAAAAAAAATTACTTATGATCAATACCATGTTTTCAGTGTGGTAAAGAGAAGTTCAAAGTCACTTACACGTGTCTGTAATTTAGTTACAGGATTGATCTCGGGTGTAGCATCTCAAAATCATCACAAGAGGAGGGAACCCTGTAAATAACAACATGCAAGGGTGGAGAATTAAAATTCTCTCCAATACAACAGGTAGACCAGCAAAATAAAAAACAGTTTATTTTAAAGGTGTATTTTCACCCTCAGGAAAATATCAAGTGTTTTTTGAAAGGTCTGACTCCTTTTTTTTTTTTTTTCCATGTAACTGTTATGTAAAGGCCACATTGAAGTGATGAATTTTAGCAGCTTCATTTCTTAGTTACAGATGGAAATCTGTACCTCTAGAGACACCAGCCAGTGCCCAAYGTGCCACATAAATATTCTCAAATATAATCCCTTGTCAAAAGTTGTCTGATAGCCCAGGGAACTCAATTAATCTACGTGATGGTATTTCTGGAACTGCAAAGTCCCACTTCATAACACTGAAGGGCTCCAATCTATATTCTTCYGAGGCCTTTGAAGGAACCATCCAGCTCTTTTATTCCTAAAATGGAAGTATCTTTCCACTTGATGTATCCTTTTCTGTAGGATCACAGGCTGTAGGAACGCTCTGCTGACAATCAAAGAGCAGCAAAATAGGAAATCCAGCGGCACATGGAAAATAATCTTTTTTGTGGAGGAAGAGCGACATCCTGTGGATAGCAGATGGAGCTGAATTCCTGCTGCTTTTGGGCAGCCAAGGATTTTTAAARAAAGCCTTTGTTACCGTGGGCAAGGCTGCTGAGTGACCGAGGGATTTATTCCCTGTTTTTACCTTCTTTAACCTTCACTTTCCCTCTAGGATTATGTTTTAGGGTCGTTGCTAAAGGAGAAAACACCAAATTTATCTAAAACCCACTCCAATGGGTTATTTAATTTCTCTTTTTATAGGTGTAATTTTTTAAGCACAGAAGACAAAATCCCTGAAATCTTGTCTGATTTTTGTTTGTGGTTTTGGGGTTTCATTTGATTCTTTTTTTTTTTTTTAAGAGAGAGCAGACTAGAAATTAACTGAAGCAATAAGGAAAAAAAATCAAAGGCCAGGTGCAAAACTCAGATTACAGCCAGATTWAAAGATGTTACCAGAATCTGTTGTGAATATGGGAGCACTAAGATTATTTTAACAGTGTAGAGATTCTGGCTAAAACCTATTGAATTCTTATTGTAGCTATGAATTACTGTTTCTAAAAACTTTTGAGGTACCACCACACTGTAAGGATAAAAAAAAAAAAAAAGTATTTTAACAATATCAGTCATTTGCATTGCCTGATTTCTTATTTGTGTGAATAATATATGTTATGCAAATTTCACATTTTCTTGTAATTTATACACACTTCCTTAGTTCACACCACCTGCAATAACTTGCGATGATTTTTCCTTATTAATGAAGAAATCCCTGCAGTCATCTCTTCCCACTCAGGACACCCAGGGACACTCAGTGGCACACGGCAGACCCCTCCTGTCACCTCCCAAAGTCCCTGTTCCTGCAGGGCACCCCAAACCCCAGCAGAAAGGTAAGAAATGCCCGTTTATTCCGTTCCGTATCTCCTGTGAACTATGAACTTGAGGCAGGGCTGAACACAGAGCAGCGATAGACACCCAGAGCAGAGAGGGAATGRYTGGGGCTGGAAGGGACATGTGGAGGTCACCCCGTCCTGTCCCCAAATCAACCAGGGCCATTCCAAACCATTTCCATGGTTAAAACTGCAAAATGTGTAAAATCAAAGCGGCAATTGTGGGGAAACTCAAACCAAGGSATGTCTCTTTCATGGCAGAGACAGCAAATGTTTTAATGTTTACACAACTTTGTATTTCTGCCAGCTCAGCAGACAGGGAAGCCGGCCTTGCTCCCAAAAAAATCATAAATCCAATTATGAATAAAACCCACATTGGACTAGTTAGAGAATGGAGTTTTCTATTATTTCCTATTTTGTGCAAAACTTACCACAGATGTTCAGTGCCGAAATTCAAGAGGAACAGTTTAACAGCAGGACCACAGTGGAAAAAAAAAAAAAATAAATGAACCAAGGTGTTTCCTAACGTATGTTTGGGAGGAAAGTGAGGAACAGCACTGTGTGTGCACTCAGATGGGGCCAGGAGCTCCATTTCAAGGGGAGCASCTGCCAGAATTCAGGTTGACAGGCACCCTTATAATCTGGGGAAGGGCACACAGGGCTTATACCCCCCTCTGAGGTGCTTTTGAACTAGCTCACCCTATCAAAGAACCCCCAAAAACCAGAGACAACCCAGACTTAGTGTGAACTCCCTTTTTGGCACCAAATGGTTGTATAAAACTTAGCAAAGCAGGCAGCTTTTATACTGCTCAGTCACCTACTGGCATTTTCAAGGTTCAGTAGCCTGACGTGTAAGGGGCACCCCTTCCCACCCACCACACAATTCCCATTGCAACCAGTTCCACCCCCACCCCACAACCCATGTGCCCCACACCCCCCACCCACCGAGTCCCTTTAGAGCAGTGTCAGGCACTGCAACCCCTCACACCCACCCACAGGACCAGCAGAGACAACTAAAACACACCCCAAGTTTAGAACTGGGAGCAAAACCCACCCCACTGCTGAAAACCACACCCCCTTAGTGGGGTTGTTACATCCCACCTGGAAACAAAGTGCTGCTTAACTCTAGGAAGAAGAAACAACATGGTATTAGCACTTATTTATGATTTTAATCCAGATCCATTTTAACCACAAGGTTGGTCCTCATTACACATGCAGAGAGGCTTTAACTGCCATGGAAAGAAGCCAAAGCATTTCACTTAATACACCAGTTTTACTTGCTTGAACTGAGACAGACTACAGGGTGTAATGTGCAACAGAAAACTTTATTAGCATTTCAACAGACAGTTGTTCAGCAGTTACTCAAGCTTGCATTAACCTTGCATTAACTTAATATTAAGACATTGAAGAACTACAGTGCAAACACAAGTGCCACTGGCAATCCTGGTGTCAAGCAAGATGCACAAAAACTTAACAGCCACCCCTGAGACGCAGCACCAGGTGAAGGGTGGACTCTTTCTGGATGTTGTAGTCGGACAGGGTGCGCCC